ACCGTAGGGTCCCACCTGGCTTCTGCACCTCGTCCAAGCCCAGCCGGGGGCCCTGCCAGGGCAGCACGTCCAGCTCGTACCGCTCCCTGCCCTCGCCCAGGCGCCCCGGCGAGCCAGGGCAGGGGTAGCCATGGTCAGGACAGGGCACCGCGCCGACGGTGAAGGGGCACGTGTGGGCAGCTGGCAGCCGGTGCAGAGCTGGGGAGAGGGGACACCCACATCACGGCCCTGTCCTTGCAGGGCCCCTTTGCAGAGGACAGCCGGGCACCACCTGGGCCAGGGTCTGGCCCGAAGCAGAGCTGAGCCCTGCGGGGCAAGGAAGAGGAGGAGGAGGAGAAGGAGGAATGTGAAGGATGAAGGCAAAAGAAAAGTAGGAGAAGGAAAAAACAAAGTAGGGAGTCAGGATGATCAGGGTGAAGTGAGAGAAGAAGAGGAGGAGGAGGAAGAAATGGAATAAAATTAAGGAGGAGGAGAAAGAATAGGAGGAAGAATGGTATGAGGAATAGAAGGAAAAAGAGGAATATGAGGTCAGAGAAGATGAGAAGGAGGAAGAAGAAGACAATGAATAGGAGGTGGTGTCACCCAGTAAGCACCTACAAGGGTGGGCAGGGGACATGGGGAGGGGACAGGGAATGGGGCTAGGGACACGACGGCCCCCTGCTCACCCGGGACTGGCTGGGCAGTCAGGGCAGTGCCATGTCTACATGCCACCTCCACGCGTCCCTCCAGTGAAGTGACCCATGGGGCACCACAGCCCTTTATAGATGCACCCAGATCAAAGTCTAAGGAGCCCCGCGTTGCCCCTCGCCTGTGCTCACTGCTCACCTCCTCCACAGAAATTCCTGCAGTTAATGGGTAACCCTGTGGCCCCAGGGAAGGATGGGGCAGGTGCCCACAGGGTACCACACTACTGGCATGCCTCGCCTTGCCTGCCCAAGCCTTGGCATCACCCCTGGGCAAGTGGCTGCTGACATGGTGGAGAGCAAAGCTGGGGCACTGCTGGACTGTCTGAGGTGCAGTGCCGGGGCAGCCTCAGCTTGCTCTCACTTGGTGCTGGGTGCTTCATCCCCTACATGAGAGGAGAAGGAGAAGGAGGAGAAGGGCTTGGTGCTGGTGCTGCCAGGGTGTCCCAAACCGGGGGTGAGGCCACACACACAGCTGGCACCCTCGGAGCCATCTGAGCATCAGCTGCGTGGGACCCAGTTCTGCCCAGGGCAGGCGCCGTCCTCCCAGCGGGGGTGATGGTGGTGGGTCATGTGGGCGCCAGTGCAGCCCCTGTGTCCCCTCACTGGCGGTGACAGCGGTACGTGGCCCGGTCAGCCCATGCCAGTGGCTCAGCGTGGAGCCCGCGTCTTCCCAGCACGTGCGATGCCAGGGTGGGCAGGAGCAGAGTGACACCAGCGCTGTCGTCACCACCTCCTCCAGGCTGTTTATCATTACCCGCTGTTTACGCACCGCTGGCCGAGTTTCCATCCATCCGCAAGGCACAGGGCCAGCTCGCGCCCATGTCTGCCTCGGGGAGAGCTGGGGGCCAAAAGGCCCCTCCAGCCCTGGTGTCTGTGGGGAGCAGATGTGGCTGGGCCATGCAGCTGCTATGTCCCCGTTCCTCTGGGATCAAGCACTCCAGGACCTGTCACCGTGGATGAGCCAGCTGCAACTGTACGGGGGGAGCAAGGGGAGATCCCTCAGGTACCCCAGGGTGCTCAGGGACAGACTGGGGATGTGCCTGCCACTACTGGAGCATCACCAAGCCTCCGCTGAGTCACAAACCTTGAGCTGAATGCCTGGGAGGTGGCACAGCAAGGGACATGTCCTGCCTCTGCAGGGCTGGAGTGTGCAGCCAGTGGCACCCGCAGAGCCATGTGCCAGGCTGCAATGAGCAGGAGGCCAGTGTCTGCACTTGTCCTGGGCCTGGGGGCTCTTGGCCAGCTGCCCCCACAATCATTAACCCAGTGAGGCCCTGGCAGCTCCTGCTGTCACTCATTGACAGGGTCAGGGCTGAAGTCCTCGGCCCTGCTGGCCCTGCAGCTTCCCCTACACCATCAGTGGTGCCGGGAATACAAGCTCCTGGCACTGCCCCTTGCTGCCGGGCAGGGTGGCACTGGAGCAGAGGGCTGGCTGCAGCCCTGCCCTGGCCCTGGGTGGGCTCTGAAGTGTTTGGGGGACCGAGGGGACATTGCTGCTGGGAAAAGCACCATCTGGCCTCAGTGGTGACAGAAGAAGAGGGACACGTGTCCAGGCAATGCTCTTTATTTCCCCTGGTTTCACACCACAGATGGGACTGAGCAGCACCACAGAGACAGAGTGGGGATCTGACTGGGGACACGGGGCTGCAGCTGGCCAAAGCAGCACGGGGCTGAGTGGCCATGCCTCACATCCCCAGGCAAGCCCCTGGGCTGCCTTGGGCCACCCCTCTGCCTCTGGCTGGGCAGTGGTGACAGAGTGGTCACTCAAGGCACAGCCACAAAGGGCCCTAGCACGTGCAGAGGATGGAGGGACCTCCTGGCTGCTGTTGAGAGACTGTCTCCGTCACAGACTGGGTCTGGGTCCTCTGGGGACATGGGGCTGCTAGGGATGGGGATCTGCAGGGCACAGCCACGTCTGGCAGAGTTTGGCTCAGGGCCACAGCCTAGTACAGCTGCTGGCAGGGATGCCAGGCTGAGCACACGCTGGGTACCCACACACTAGGCCAAGATGCACAGCACCCAGAGGTGCTGTATTCCTCTGACACCAGGCAGGCTTGTCCCCATGGGCTGAGCATCCACAGCCCCAGCTGGGCTGAGATGAGAGACCTATGGGGACGTGCTCCTGGGGGCTTCACCTAGGGTCTCCCCGTGGAGAGGAGGAAGGCTGCTTTGGCACGACCTGCTGGCTCTGCCTCCATCTGATTGGGGCAGGAACAGTGCCCTGCTCCATAATGGCAGTGCTATCGTGGCAGGATCAGGCCCAGCCATGCTCACACAGCACAGATGGTAACAAGCTGCCCGGGGTATAGGCCAGCAGGGCTATGCCCACCCTCCCCGGGAAGAGCAGACCTGCCCATCAGCAGCAGGGGAAGCCCTGCTCCGGTGGGGTCAGGGGCCTGATCCGCTCCTCAGCTCTGGACACGCGCTCTCCTGGCCCTGCCTGCCCACAGCATTGGGCTTTGGGGCTGGTGCCTGCCTTGCCATCCCACCCACCCTCTCTGTCCTGCACACCCTTCGGTTGGAAGGGAGCTTTCCCCACCTGAATGGTCAGCGGGGCTGTGCCAGCCTGGCACGGGCAGGATTTGCCGGGTGGGCAGCTCTGGTGCAGGCGGAGCAGGCAGAGGCACTGGGCAGGACAGCACCAGGCATGCGTGGGACATTGCAAAGTGCTTTGCAACAGGGGGTCAGGCTATGTACAGGACTCCCTTGACGTGCACCAGGACGTGACCCCACTGAGGGGCATGGCGGCTGCTCAACCACTCACAGCGACAGCACACGACAGTTTAGGACGGGACGTGGACAAATCTGCGGTCCGGGCAGTGTCGGCAGGGCCGGGCAGGGGCCGGCTGGGCCCCACGTTGAACCCTGGCGTGGCCCAAGGGTACCCTGCACCGGGTGTGGACGTGCAGCGGGACTCATCGGAGCGCCTGGTCGACTGAAGGCTGAGCTGGCACAGGCTCTGCGGGCTCAGGATGGCCGTTTCCCTCAGAGTCTGGGTGAGGGGTGCAGGGCTGATCCGACCCCTCACAGGCACTCTTGTCCTGCCCGGGGAGCTGGAGGAAGTCAGGCAGGATCAGGTCCTCCTTGGAGAGCAGCCCACGTTGGTCATTGGCCCGGCAGCTCTGGGCACGGTTTAGCCGCTCCACCAGCCCTGGGGGAAATA